ACCCAGGCTGGAGTGCAATGGCGCGATCTCGGCTCACCGCAACCTCCGCCTCCTGGGTTCAGGCAATTCTCCTGCCTCAGCCTCCTGAGTAGCTGGGATTACAGGCACGCGCCGCCATGCCCAGCTAATTTTTTTTGTAGTTTTAGTAGAGACGGGGTTTCACCATGTTGACCAGGATGGTCTTGATCTCTTGACCTTGTGATCCACCCGCCTCGGCCACTTTGTGATATTTTTAAAAGATTCTTTTCAGGGCTGGGCACAGCTGCTCACGCCTGTAATCCCAACACTATGGGAGAGTGAGGCGGGTGGATGACTTGCAGTCAGGAGTTTAAGACTGGCATTGCCAACATGGTCAAACCCCATTTCTACTAAATATACAAAAGTTAGCCAGGTGTGGTAGCACACCTACAATCCCAGCTACTTGGGAGGCTGAGGCAGGAGAATCATTTGAACCTGGGAAGTGGAGGTTACAGGGAGCAGAGATTACGCCACTCCACTCTAGCCTGGGCAACAGAGCAAGACTCTGTTTACAAAAAAAAGGGGGATTCTTTTCAGATCAAATATTTGAAAAAACAATATAAAGACTTGAACTCCAAAACTGGAAGTGACTACTACAAGCTAGGAGGTTAGGCTGTGTTCAGCTGGCAACAAGACCACAGGCATTTCCTGTGCACAGCTGTTTACTGCCAGGGTATGGTCAGGCGCCCAAGAATGTCCTCACTAAGGAAAACAGCTGCTCTCAACTCAGGGATTCTAGAACACAGCAGGTTCCCAAATGGACTTACTACAGTTAACTTGAGATACCTAATTCCAACTCTCATAGTCTCAAGCTTCTAAGAGATTAGGGGTCTGATAACATGAACATGATTTATAATCACCATACTCACCTGCTCTAAGGTGGCAGCAAAGCCCTGTCTGTCTGCCACGTAAGGGAGCCCGTGAACCAAGCCTACTTTTTCTGTCATTTGATTCACCATGTCAGTAAGTGTATCTGGAATTACTATAATTAAAAAAAATGGCAGAGAGGGGGAAAGAAAAAAAAATTCTTTTTAGTAGAATGCCCATTAACATAAAATATATTTTGTGAACTGCTATTAAATTCTTAATAAAAATACATTCTTTTAAACATATGGATCAAATAAAATGAATCTCAACCACCTTTCTGAGAATACAAAATTTCAAAAAGGCCTAATTTATACATTTTTTTTAGGCCAGGATATACCTACTATGTACCAGAGATACGATATACTTTGAAAAGGTAACCCCCTGTTGGAACTTCTAAATTGGAATAAGGGCAATGTGTCCTAGTGGAAAAGGTTCAGGGGCAGAGGATAAAAGACCTCAGTTCTTGGCCGGGCACAGTGACTCATGCCTGTAATCTCAGCACGTTGGGAGGCTGAGGCAGGTGGATCACGAGGTCAGGAGATCAACACCATCCTGGTCAACATGGTGAAACTCCATCTCTACTAAAAATAAAAAAAAAATTAGCTGGGCATGGTGGCACACCCCTGTAGTCCCAGCTACTCTGGAGGCTGAGGCAGGAGAATTGCCTGAACCCAGGGGACAGAGAGTGCAGTGAGCTGATATCACACCACTGCACTACAGCCTGGGTGACAGTGCGAGACTCCATCTCAAAAAATAAAATAAAATAAAATAAATAAAAGGACCTCAGTTCTTGTGCTGGCTTCTCTACTCTCCAACCATAGGAAATGAGACTACTTTTGCTGTAACAGATTTCATAGCACTAATAGGAATGGAATGTGATTATATTGAACAGAGATTTGTACACTGAAAAACATGATAGTAAATAATTTAAGAGAGCAAATATGACGAATGAACATCATCTCTGACCAGGAATTGACAGATTGGTAACGGTCCTGATTAATTCATAGGAATGTGACATTTATGTTCGTTTTCTAATTTGCATTCTAAGCTAATGAAAAATTTTAATTATTGGTCAATCTTTAAATAGCATACATATCATGTTACATGACCTTATTTTTCATTTCCTCCAAGTCTTTAAGAACTAAATCTACTGTATAATGAAAAGTTGTACGTGGACTTTTTTTTTTTTTTTTTTTTTTGAGATGGAGTCTTGGTCGTTGCCCAGGCTGACATGCAGTGGTGCAGTTTCAGCTCACTGCAACCTCTGCCTCCCGGGTTCAAGCGATTCTCCTGCCTCAGCCTCCCAAGTAGGTGGGACTACAGGTACGTGCCACCACACCTGGCTAATTTTTGTATTTTTTTTTTTTTTAGTAGAGACGGAGTTTCACCATGTTGGCCAGGCTGGCCTCAAACTCCTGACCTCGTGACCCACCCGCCTCGGCCTCCCAAAGTGCTAGGATTATAGGCGTGAGCCACTGCACCCAGCCATACGTGGACCTTAAATACTCATTCTAGGTCAGTGCTTCTCAACTGGGGGCAATTCTGCCCCACAGGGGACATCTGGCAACATCTGAAGATATCTTTGCTTTTAACTACTAAGAAGGGGGTACTACTGGCATCTCATGGGTAGATACCAGGGATGCTGCTAAACATCCTACAAGATAGCTCCCACAACAAAGCCCAAAATGTGAATAGTTTTGGGGTTGAGAAACTTAAGGTAATTAGAATATAACAAAATGTTATAGCACACTGAAACTGTAAGTGTTTAAAAATGCAAATTATAATTTTAGTATATAAAAGGCTTCCTGCTAAAATCATTTAAGTAAAAAGCCATCTGTATAGTCTAATAAGTATACGTGTTTAGTAAGATATGCACTTATTAATTTTTGTCCCTTTGTGAGACAGCGTATTATGCAACCAAAACACATTAAAGATAAGTGTCAGGCAAACAAGGGAAAAGTTACACCCATGAGAAAGCTTGCAGATTGCATAATGAACCACGACTAGTTTAATAGTTGAAATTTTCTCTTCAAAATAAAAACATTTTAATACATGTAACATTCTAGTTTAGGATTTAAAAAAATCAAAATCTTAGTAAGCATACTTGGACATATTACCATGAAATAATGATGAAATAAATTACTCTTTTAGGCAAATAAAAAGGACTCATGAATGAATCTGCAGATTACTTTTAGCATTTTATCTTCAAATTAATAGTTTTATAAAATAAATTTAAAAACCTCACCTCTTATTCCACTATCACAAATCCATATAAGATCGTACTTTGCAACTTCATATCCTGGCATTAAATTATTAATTTTAGGATTAATGCCAACCTTTTTGCCACCTACAAATGTAAAGGTACAGTAGTAAAAGATTTATAGAACATTAAAAATACTTTCTAGTATAATGAAAAGTACTTGCATATTTAATAATTAAAATGAAAATATATTCATATTATTTAACATTCTCTATTTTTCATAATATATTTAAGAAAAAACTGTCCATGCTCAAAAGGAAAACTGTATCATTTATCTTTAAAAATTTACTGTTTCACTTTTTTAAATTCTTAAGTCCTTGCCTTAGTAGTTATGTATAAGTCAATATATAATGGCAATTGTACAACATGGCAACTATACAACATGGCAACTATAGCTAACAACAATGTATGGTATACTTCAAAATGATCGAGAGCAGATTTCTCACTGCAAATAAATTATAAGTATGTGAGAAAGTATACAACAACGTGTTGTATATTTGAAAACTGCTGAGAGATTTCCCACTATGAATAAATATGTATAGTAATACAACATTAATTAATTTAGCTATTCCACAATGTGTCTGTGTGTGTGTGTGTGTGTGTGTGTGTGTGTGTATTTCAAAACATCATGCTGTACACCAAAAAGATATACAAATTTTATTTGTCAATGTAAGAAATAATCCTAAGGGAAAAAAGCTATAGACGTCATTTTGTTTTTTTGTTTTTTGTTTTTTTTTTTTAAATAGAGACAGGGTTTCACCATGTTGGCCAGGATGGTCTCCATCTCTTGACCTTGTGATCCACCCACCTCGGCCTCCCAAAGTGCTGGGATTACAGGCATGAGCCATCATGCCCGGCCTATAGGCGTCATTTTGAAGCTATAATTAAAACAGTATAAATTCATAAATACAGTGAGATTATATTTAGTAAAGATTTAAGGTGTTAGCCATGCAAGTAAAGACTACAAAAATTTAATAAAGATTTATTAAATATAAATACAAATGGCTGGGAGCCATGGCTCACACCTGTAATCCCAGCACTTCGGGAGGCCAAGGCGGGTGAATTACCTTAGGTCAGGAGTTCGAGACCAGCTTGACAGACATGGTGAAACCCCATCTCTGTTTTTACTACAAAAATTTAGCTGGTCATTGTGGCACACGCCTGTGATCCCAGCTGCTCAGGGAGCTGAGGCAGGAGAATCACTTGAACCCGGGATGTGGGGATTGGAGTGAGCCAAAATGGTGGCACTGCACTCCAGCCTGGGTGACAAAAGCATAAAACTCTGTCTCCAAAAAAAAAAAAAAACCAAAAAAAAAAAAAAAAAAAAAAAAAAAATACACACAGAAAAACATAAATATTGATAGCAAATAATTTAACATAGCGCATGTGAAGAATGAGCATCGCTGACCAGGAGTTGATGATAGATTTGTAATGGTCCTGATTAATTTGTAAGTATGCTAAACATATTAATTTTCAAATTTGCATTTTAAGGTAATAATTTGAATCATTGCCCTATCTTCAAATAGCAAAGTTCTGATATCAGTGTATATGACTTACTTATTTTTTAGAGAGATCACATCAGTTGATGTTAAAAATAATAATAATAATGGCAAACACACCTCTAACAAGTCTTTAAAAAGCCTATAGGCTTTTGGAAAAATATCCTTCTTGTAGTATAATAAAAGTGAATTCTATCATTCACTCCAATTATAGTCAGTAAGATACAGAAAAGGGCACATATTTAAAATACTGAAGAAATAAAAATAACAGACCCTCATGTCTAACAGAAAAAATATTATTTTTGTGGGCGATTTTGTTCATCTATGAAAAAAATCTTTGTTTTTATAACTTTTCTCAAAAGGATGTAAACACCTTTCAGTATTCTAAAAAACATGGCTAACACTTTAATCTTTAGTTCAATGCAGAGATTACTGATAATTAATAGTATCAATGCAAAATGGTTACTAAAGAATTTATTTGTTACTTACCTATAAACAATCTAGCATCAACATTTGGATATTTTCCAAGAAGCTTCTTACATACATCAATGGCTGGATCATCATGATCTTGTACACAAAGGAGCACTTCATACTAGTCAAAGAGCATTGCATGCAAATTAAATTCTTAAAAAAATAAGCACTTACTAGCATTTACTGATTGAACAAAAAGCACAGAAAGAATCAAGCAATTGTATTATCCAAAGTTTTAAAAGAGGGCATTCACAATGGATGCAAACACTTATGATAACAAGTGTTGCTTTAATGGAGTGAAGCTTCTCCTGATTAGGAGCCTATTTGCAAGCAGAAGAAATAAGGAGGAGACTGGCAGTGCCCATAACTGCAGTCTTGCCATTCCCAGATAGGACTGTCCTAGGAATTAACTGGATGTCAAGCTTGTCCATGACCATCATTACTGAAGATTCACTCTGTTCAATGTGCTTAGCAGAGTAAAAAGTGACATCAAAAGGAAGTCAAATAAACACACAATCTTTCTCTAGAAGCTTTGTCTCTACACTTAATATTATTTCATGAAGGTACAACAAATTTCATATAAAATCCCATTATAATAAATTTAAAGGGCCCTTCCAAATTCTTCAGATGAAAAGGAAAAAGTAAGATTATACTTTTTGTTTCATAACTTTCTGAAACAAAACAGAATTTGATTTGAATGGACACATTTACTATCTTTAAATGCATGCTTAGCTTTATACCTATGAAAATACCCAAAATAGCCACAATTTTATTTTCAGCAGTGCTGTTTAGACTTTAATAGTAAATTAAGAAAGGGTTTTTTTCCTCTCTCTTCTGAGACAGTTTCTTGTCACCCAGGTTGGAGTGCAATGGCGATCTCAACTCACTGTAACCTCCGCCTCCTGGGTTTAAGTGATTCTCCTGTCTCAGCCTCCCAAGTAGCTGGGATTATAGGTGCCCACCACCACACCCAGCTAATTTTCATATTTTTAATAGAGACGGGGTTTCACCATGCTGGCCAGGCTGGTCTCGAAATCCTGACCTCAGGTGATCCGCCCGCCTCAGCCTTTCAAAGTGCTGGGATTACAGGTGTGAGCCACCATGTCCAGCCTAGAAAGGCACTTCTTAACACTTGCCTAGCTGTGTCAAAATTACCCTGGGAGCTGGGCATGGTGACTCACGCCTGTAATCCCAGCACTTTGGGAGGCCAAGGTGGAAGGACTGCTTGAGCCCAGGAGTTTGAGAGCAGCCTGGGCAAAAAGGTGGGACCCTGCCTCTACAAAAAATTTAAAAATTAGATGGGATGGTGGGGCATGCCAGTGGTCACAGCCACTTGGGAGGCTGAGGTAGGAGGATTGCTTGGGCCCAGGAGGTTGAGGCTACAGTGAGCCAAAGACTGCACCACTACCTTTCAGCCTGGTTGACAGAGTGAGACCCTGTCTCAAAAGAAAAAAAAAAAA